ATATATATATATATATATATATATATATATATATATATATATATATATATATATATATATATATATATATATATATATATATATATATATATATATATATATATATATATATATATATATATATATATATATTATATATATATATATATATATATATATATATATATATATATATATATATATATATATATATATATATATATATATATATATATATATATACTATATAATAATATATATATATATATATATATATATATATATATATATATATATAAGTGAGTGTAAACAGATGTTTATATATATATATATATATATATATATATACATGTATATATATATATATTTAAAGCACACACCCCTGCCTATCGCAGGCACTGGTGTTAGTATACAAGTGGTCGCTGAGTTTATCCTGCCGAAGGCCGATACAACCTAAAAATAGCTCATTCGCCCCTGGAGGAATGCTTTTTGGATGCACAATAAGTCAAGCAATACTATTGCCGTATCACATCCTGTACAGCGCGCTGCAGTGAGTTGAATGTGCACAAGTCACACCGAAAGCAGAGCGGACGGTATTAGCCTGGCGTTTCTGCAGAGTGTATAACTGCACGTACATAAGCACACACAATCCTACCACAGATATGAGGGTGGAACAAACCAACCACAGATACGAGGGTAAAGTATTTCATTTTTTGTCTGCGGGTCTCGATGAGGCATATCTTGCACCGTACGCTGGGGGAAGCTTCGGGGGGAAGAAAGGTTGAGTCCGATCTGATTGTAGATCTTGGCACAATTCCATTGTCACTTTGCTATGGCAGTCTTCAGTTCGGCATTGTAAATAGTGCCCCAAGGAAGGCATTGTTTTTGGTTTTATGGTTCAGTTTGTTGAGCCGTGTGCACTGGTCAGTTAGTATTTACAATGACAGCTAAAGGGAATCCCCACCGAGTTTCAATATACTGCTATCTTGCTCGAGAAGCACTAGCTCAGTGCACTACTAAAGGCAGACCCGTTCGTTGTCCGAGGGTGAATGCTAGCTGGTACACATGTGAGGGTAGTGCAAGTGTCGTATTGGTTGCCTCTCGCCAATCCAATTAAATAAAACAGCCGTGCATATCACAAAAGACATAAACACGAACACTGGATGTCAAGCATGCTTCCAATTTGACCCGATGCTACCAGAGCAATTAACACTCATCAGCACAACCCATTGCAAAATTCCAATGGCAAGTTGCAGCCTTAGATTTGTATCTGTATTGATTAACGGTGCGTAGAGCAGAGGTTCGATAACTGTGTCATTGATACCACAATCGAGCCTGTGCTTCCGACTGCGTACTGACTGACGCGTCATTTTAATTGGCTGACTAAAGGAACAGCAGGCGTCGGCGTGTCGCCATCATCACCACTATCTGAAAAAATCAGTAATAAACAAGTGGTCCTGGGGGTGCTATACTAAAGGTGACATACACTTTTATACACTATAATGTCACCAGGCAAAAATACCACAAGCAGTTGCCATGTTATTAACTGCCGCCCCAACTCCTCGAGAAACAATATGGACAACAGATGCTCGTAGAAATACCGTGCACTTACAACCTCCAGACATTCAAGGTTGGTCGTCTTGTCAACTTCTGTTTATTTGAATACCTAGTATACCCTGTGAGATTGCCAACAAGACAATATCCCTATACAACTCATTTCTATCTATAAGCTTAGACACAATTAGTTTCAATCATAGTACTATCAAATTGCATTGGTGTGCAACTGTCCTAGACTAGTGCGAATTAAGCTCGTTTGTTGACTCGACTCGACATGTTGCCTCCAAATAAATGGATTCCACACTCGCGATCAGAAACAAATTTAGGCATAACCCATCATACACACACTAAATGTGCGGTAGCATGCTTAGCAATATATGCGAGCCCATACTAAGCACAGTCAGTCTTCATCCGAAAGGGAGTACTAGCGATGCTCAACGAAGTGCCGTTTTTTTACGACGCAATACCTATATTATCACTACAAAATGATTTTCATATCGAGCCTATCATCACATACCGAATTATATCTTCTACTATGCGTGGCTCAATTCTAAGTGTGGGATGGGCATGAAAAAACAGCATGTAAAGATACAGTGAGAATAGCACTGTATCCCCACGGCGCGTATTACTTAACTGACGAAAACAAACACCATTGTCGTGAGCTGAGTATCGATACCTCAGGGAACGTGTTTATGTTACTGAACAACTCACTAAGGCCTCATAAAAGTCTCCATAGCTCATTAATTGGAGCTTGCCGCGAAATCGGATGTTGTCTGTAGCACGACCCACTATATACTGTTTACACTATACCCTGTACTATTTAGGAGGCTATGGATGTGTACTGTGTAGCCGCTCTCATAATAGAACTACCCTCCCTCTAGACTAGTAGACCCGTGGCGTTTGCTGTAGCTTAGAATAGAACCTTACGAGAGGTATTGCAAACTTGATATCACGCACCAATAAATATCAAATGTTTAACATTTGCCATCGATATTACTTTAATAGAAGTGGCAGTCTCTTTCTATATCTTCAATTGTATTGGCTAACGACTGGCAACAAGTGTAGTAGAAGTAGGGTATTCTTCATGAATGGCTGTTGGGTTTTGACCCTTTACTTTCGTGGGGCCAGATTTCAGAGCAGCCTATGTTCATACCAGTACTTCGTTGGGATTCGGAATCAATTATACTTTCGTGTAGCCAGTTTGACATTAACAACAGACAACTACTTTGATACTGCTTACTACTATGTCGCTAGGTACGACGCCGGGTCCACGCGTGTATGTATACCAGTATCCACACCGGCCAAATGAAGGTCGACTAAGCGTCCGAAGTACGTGCCGAACTGGAGAGGATAACAAATTAGACAGAGAGCACGCTGTCGGGATCGGTCACTTGGTTGCATGCGATTTACGTCGTCCTTCGCGATCTAAGGGTGCGTACTTACTATTGTTACATGTATAGCTTTTCCTGCGTTCTTTACTCGTTTTGAGGTTGTTACCTCATGTCGTTTCGTATTGGAACTTATGGGGAATAACGGCTTATGATTTTGCATACCTATACACGCTACGCGCACTTCTTACACCTGTGAGCCGACAACAACATTACTTCACGTGTACAATACAAAGGCAGCAAGAGTGGACCTTATGTTCGCGTTGCTGACGATCATGGCGGTTGGGTGTTCCTGGAGAACGGATGCTCTGGCAAATGCCGTGCACATACAAACTACAAGCATTCAAGGTATCGCATCCTTATGTTCAAGTTTCTATGTCAGCTATGATTTTTGTCTCCCTATGCGAATCGAATTGTCACAAGTGTCGTGGATATCAACAGATGGATAGGTTTACGTATGTATATATGTATTGTACACGTGAAAGCATGTGTATTAGTACCCATCGTCATGTGTATTCTACGCTCATAGCTCCGAAAAATTAGTACGATTAGTAGTAGTGGCCCCTTTACCACCTCCTAACTATAGGTTAGAGCATGTCGGCGAAGATTTGTTATTGAATAGCAGATCTTGACAACCTGCCTTCATAATTGCTCAATGAACATATCTCTTGGGTGAAAGTACATATAGCACTTCTTGATGCGAATCTACCACCTATTGGCTTATATTCGGATCGATGTAGACGTAACTTCGAATCACTGTTGCTCACACAAACATTCCACAGACAGCGTTTATTTTGCTTTAATGTGAATGATGAATCTTTTTCGAGAACTGCAAGTGGCAGACGGCAAGCTTTGTTACCATACTTTTAAACTATCGGCAGTGCTATCGCATTCAGGTCGCTCGTGGTCATGGCGTGGTTCTCCACGCACGCCCATCCTTCGACCACTCTATGAAACCTTCAGTAGTGTATCCGATAGGCACCGTGATCTTCACAAATGTCCAGGTCGCGGCGTGTGCGGGCGGAGGTTGTGCTAAGCGGTTTCGTGTACAAGGTACGAGTGGATGGGTACTAGATAAATGTGAAGAGGAAATACATTACAGGAACTTGATTTGGAGGAGGCTTTCTCAACACTCGAAAGTACACAAGATTCGGTGGAAAGGGATGAGATCTCTTCGCATGGGAAAGGTGTAAAGCTAGACCTGGAGGAAGCGAGGTCGTGGGCTACTGAACTCGGATTGGTTGAGGCCCAGCACAATGTTACTTCGAGGAGTGATTGCCTTTCTGAAGTACTCTGGATCAAGTACAGAGGGCGGCGGAACTGTGCGAATCAACGTGTACTACAGCACTGGCATGTTTGTTTGTTATGAGCTCATTTACTGGTGATACAATCGACTAGAACTATCATGTCCACTGTAGATTTTATTCCTTTTCTGAACGTGCTTGCATATCCAAATTATATGCAGGCATCGAGCATGCGTACGTGTATATAATAGGAGTTCGTTTCTGTTGACATTAAGTGCACTTACACGTGTATCTGTCCTATAGTATGTGTAGTTAGTACTGAGGTGTTATCCCGAGCACCTTCCTTGATCGATTCCTTCGCCCTTGACTGCCCACAATCTACTTCACGAGAAGTTACAAATGACGTGACATTCATCTATTTCCGGCTATTCGGCATCTCACTTGTCGTTAGCGATGACTCCAGACTAACCGATGGTAACCTTTGTATCCCGTGCTTGTGCTTGTGCAGTGTCCCATATTGCTCGTGTTTTTGTAGTCTTATCGTTTGCACCGTCCAACTGTTGTCTATCTATGTTTCCATGCTGCGAGTACTCGTCAACCTAAAAAGTTCAATTTTGAAATTGAATGCTGTTTTTATTCGGTTTCAAGTTTATTGAACTACCGCGTTCTTGGATTTTTTTTTATGGCTTTTGAAATTTGGTTTCGCCCAATTTTTCATTCTGTCTCAGTGTGACTTCTATACTATTTTCAAAATTCCTATGTGTGCTTAAACGTCTGCGTTGTTCTCATGTCAATTTGTCTACTGTCAATTTCTGTGACCGGACGGTTTTGAATCACACGAAACATGTCAGCAATTTATATTTCATTTTCGATAATATCATTCTAGGTACATTGTATTTGATACAATTCGCATGCTAAAGATCTTTCCGAGCGTGTGTGTACCTTGCCTTGTGGTTGATATCACTTCATTGCTTTGTCCATTTTCTCATTTCTATCCGCCAATATTTTGCTGCGCATGTTCCTGTAGTTGCCAATATTTGCCTAATTATCAAATTTGCATCTTGTTCACTGGATACATTATTGTACTTTATTTCCATATTTCTCTGTGTCGATGTGCGAAACCACTTTTATTCAGTTCGAGCCTGGTTTTGTTCAGCATCTTAGTTTGTATCTGATCTATGCCTCGTCCTATGTTAGCCTGATGGTTCAAGTTTTTATATCTGTCCTCTCTCTCTAAGATTGCATCAACTAGGATAAAATGAACTCGCTGTTGTCATGGGTGTTAGCACCACCAATGATGCACAATAAAATGCGAACGCACAGGAGCTTTCGCATCTTCTCACTAAAAAATCAGTTCGAATACGGATTGCACGTTATATTTTGAAAAACTGTTTACAGGTACTGTCGGCACGGCTTTGTTACATCCGAAACAGGGCCATACACAACTCTTTCGGCGAAATTGTTCGATGGAAGACCTTATCAGTATAATGAAGAATCCCAGAGTACATACGACGAAGAGATATCAACGTAATCGGATGCGTCCACGAGAGGAGTACGATGCAGACGTACACTGGAGAGCAAGTACCAGGAGTTCAGCTGACCCGTCTGTGGTGAATGAGGAGAGAGCACTGAGACTGTCACTGCAGGTCTTTGATGTCGAATTTGAAGAACTGCCCAAGACCTGCGCAAGCATCGTTGAACGACTTGCAGAGTGCCAGGATGTGCGCGTTAAGAGGTGAGGTGAAGGATAAATGGGTGCTAAAAGATGTTCAGTGGTTTGTGAATGATGGTATCAAGCATCCACTTCTCCTAGTTAATTTCATAATTATAATGTACTGCTAGCATGGTAATTGAAATCAATATGGTTTATGGACGGTAGTGAAGGTCTGTGTCGCCTCCATGAATATTTTGAAGGCTATCAAGTGTGAATTACTCTAATTTGTATTTTTCCCTCGTGTAAACCACTTCCAGAGCGCAAGGGGAATTAGCAGAGAAGATCGCGCGAGCACGAAAAATGGCCGAGGAAAGAGAGCGGGAGCAGTTAGTACGACGAAGGGCCAATGAAGCAAGAGAACGGATCGAAATGGAGTCCGCGGCTCGCGAAAAACGAAAACAAAAAGAGACCAGGGCAAAAGACAGGAGTAGACTGGGCGAATTTTTTCTCTCGGATTTGAGAGACGGTTCAGACGAGATCAGGTTCGACAAATACACAAGGGTTGTCGCGTTGGGATCTGATGAGGAGTTCCTGTTTGGCGGTTGTGACTACGCTCTCGCATTTGATTACAACGACACATACTTCACCAGTGGGATGATAGAAAGTTTACATGACAGGCTAGAAAGCCGGGCACCTCACCACCCGCCAAAGGTGGATGCGACACTGGGGAGTGCTGGACAATATCAAGTTCGCTTTGCCAATGGAACTTCGCAATTTCGCTTTTGGGACAAATCTCTAAATGTCCTCGGATTGGGTGGCGTTGGGCGAGGATGAAGAATCCGATGGCATATACGTAGTAAGGTGTAATAAGACTAAAGGCCTTGCGTGGGGTGGTCACGGTGACTTTCCTAACAGACTAATGCACAATCTTCGAGAATACGAGAATGACATTTAGGTCCCAGCGGGGAGTGGTTTGTTGCATTCAAATCCGGGTTTACCGAATCGGGAGGCTACGAGGGTATTATAAGCAGCCATCTGAATTATATAAAAAGTAAGGGGATGCATGTTCGTCACATCGTATGGGGCCGTGATCAGAGACATGTGATCCGATTCTCAGACTATGCGGGGCCATTTTAAGTGGTCTGCGAAAGAAGTTTTGAACATGAACACTTTTTACTGGTGCGTGAATTCAACGCTTCTGGAAAAAAAATCCGCTCAGCGAGTTGCGCCTGTTTCTAATGTCGCCATTTCGCTGGACCTATATCTACAGCCGCACTTTGAATAAATGGGTTGTATCATCCCAAGATATGGAGAGGAAAGTATTGCGCAAATATATCAGTGGTCGAACAGGTCGGCGCAGAGCGGTCGCGAATGTAAAATCACTCGATTGGAAAGGAGCGCAAACCTGTGGCTCCCAAAGTATTGGCTTATAACAAATAATTAATTGTCTTTGAGAACCCAAAAAGCATTTGCCGTTAATGAGTGTTCATGAAACATATATTATACCTTAAATACTAACCAATACTATTCAGGGTAGAGATGGGGTCAGATGCCCAGACTGTAGTTCCAGCGACCACCCCGCGAAGAAAACTGGGGGAGCCATGAAACTGTAGTTTTTTGGGAGAATGCATTGACCAGAGTGATTAATAATTTCATGATTACTGAAGCAACGTGCTCAACAGTCGTTCGTGAATCATGCAGATAGGCTGTTCACTCATGTCGTTCCACATTGGAAATACTAGGGATACGACTACAAATTGTAATTCTTGTACACCTATACATACAATTCTCGTACCTGTGAGCCAACAACATGTTTCTACGTTTGCATTACAAAGACAGCCAGAATGAACCTTATCTCCGAGTTGTTGACTATTCGCCGCGTCGGTTGTTTGAGAAAACGTGTTATGATAAATTCATCTTGTCAAAAAAGCTCATCCAGAAGTAAAAAGATAAAGTGACAGGAAGGAGTCTAGCTGAACAGTTATAAACGTTTATTATTAAGATCGATTCCCGTTTTATTGCGGCGATGTCTCATCACCCGTATCAGTGGGTCAGCTTTTGAAAGTTTTACAGGGGAGGCGGAGTATTTCTAAAAGAGAACAGATTGTGTGCATTCCTTCTTGCATCTACTATTTGTATTTGTTTTTGATTTGGTTCTCTTTATGCTACAAAAACACTAAATCCCCAAATTCGACTGTAGGACCAGAGGGAAGTGGCCGAAAGACTTGTACTGAAAAGAACAAGTTGTACCTTTTATTTCACCAGTCTGTTCAAGAAGCTGACCTCGGGTCCGGATAATACTTTAGTACTTTTAGTAAATTGTGTAATATTTCGTGATATTTACATTTGAGCACTCCGATTGAGACCAGCCGAAGTCAAACCCCGGAACGAAAAAGACGTCAGCATACTCAATTTACTGCTTTGATTGAATAGTTTATTTACTAAGGCCCTAATGTTAATTTCTACAGAAGACTTCCTAGAATAGCATCCAAGTCCAGATACGACCTTCAATTATGTTTATGTTTTCCTTTATTCCAAATTGTGATAGTTTGGTGTGTTCGTTTGAAATAGTTATGTAGTAAAGTGTGGGGCGGTGAGTGCTATATGACTGAGCTTTTGAGCAATTTCTAATATTATTACATCAGCTTGTGATGTCCGATGCCTCAGCTTTGTTGCATTTAGTTATATGCTGTACATACAAAATGTTGTATAGACCTATAAACACATTCCAAAGATGTAATTTGACAACATATTCTCCACTCAACAAGAAGAAACACTGGGTTGAGTAGTTTCGTATCGGTTAACGGCGAGTTGCTTGGCGGCAAGCTTTTTCTGTCGGTCGCGTTTACGTTTGCAAATGACGATGATGGCTACAAACAGTCCAAAGCAAAAGATGGCGCCCGCCACAGCCACCCCAATGGCCCACGCGGGTACTCCGCTATCAGACTTCCGCTGAGATCATGTATTTAAATTTGCCGTTTGAGTACGCGTTCGTGTCTGCTTGCGCAGCAAAGATTCGAGTGCGCTTGATGAAGGGTTACCAAAGATGAGGAGGGTAAACTAATGATCACTCGTGTATAGTTGCAGCTCGAATGCAAACACGGGGTTCAAACCCACATCTTATCAAGAGTCATTTTCGAATTGACGTCTGTAGTGACCTTGTCTTACTATTTGAGGATGGAACGGCTATTCAACCACGGAAGACATACAAAAATGATAGGGATACTCTGTATATGAACGAGATATCAGCTACCGTACGAATAAGTGTCGGGAATAAAACACTTACATTTGCGTCCTCGCCGACAATAGAAGGGTAGGGGGATCCAGCTGGGTCGAAGTCCGTGGGTACAGGCCCTTGTTCAACCGGTTCTTCAGTGGTGTAGAAGTCATCCATTTGGCTGTCGGGAACAGTCTATCGTGTGGAGCGAACGTACCGGATTATTAGGCGAGTGCGTACATATTGGTGAGAAGTTATCACCTTTGAGTAGAAATTGCAAGTTTGATACGAGGTTGCGAATATTGCATATAGTGGCATGCGTGATAGCGATGTGTCCGACTTGATGAGCGATTGTTTTTTTACATTACGTAGAGTTTACACTTGATCTATCCATTTGGAATCAGCAGAGAACACGTATCAACACACTGCAAGGTGTCCATCGAGTTTGTATTTGTGCACAGATACGTCCAGATAACTTACGAACTCGGCGTCGTCTACGGGTGTGGCGGCACGAGATTGCGGGTACGGGTCGCAACGACTGCCGCAAGACGGTACCTCCACAGTTTGGTCAGCACCGGCGGCAGATGAGTCTATACTCAGTGTCTCATCGAAGCCATAGCCATCCTACACAAACGAGTGGGTGTGCAAAATATGGGTGAATGCGACGTATCCTATAGATATTAGAATGCCACACGAAGCATTCCACTCACAATGCCAGATCTACTTATGTGTATCAAGCTGAGACTACTCCACGGTATTCTAATATCCCGCTTAACAACAAAACCAAAACTGGCATACCGTCTCTGTGGCTCGTCTCCTACTTGTCCCGAACTGCATAGTTGCACCGGTTGATCGACTAAGTTTAACCTTGCACGCGTTTGATGTACGCACTCTTAGACCTACAGTCGCAGAGCCAGACTTGTGGATTTGACGTGCGTCTATGCCACAGTTATCACGCGCAGCTCTTTCGTCGTAATGCTTTCTAAGATCGTCCATCTGTAAAGGTATTGTTGTCCACAGGTGATAGGGGATGTGATTGTTGCTATCAGCAATGTGCACGTCCTAGTGGAGTCAAACGTCTTACTTGGCGAGATTCTGAATAGATTTTTATATATAATCATGCGAGGAATTGTGATCTAAAACTCGACATCTAGTGATCGCTATTACTCGACAGGAGCGCGGCAGGATACCACACAGCACAGTCGCAAAGTCCCACTATTCCTCGTTGCAAGCGTCACATATTGAAGTACACTACACACAACAAGCAAAGTAGAATCACACCTTCATAGTGATTACAGGCAGGTTACTGAATTCTCTGTAAGACTTGATGACGTGCTTGGTCCACATTGAGAGCAGAGACTGGTGCTCTCCATCCCACCAGAAGGCCTTCATGTTCGCTTGATGGAACATGTAGGGATCCGCACGTTTCTGGTATGGCATTATGTAAAAGGATGCGCGTGTTTCAGTACGGATGATTTAAATAGAGGTGCCGTGACGAAACATGTGATATTTAGTGTGATTCAGAGACTTGATTGATCTACACTGATTCAATTTTGAGTGATTGAGGCACAATGTAGTGTGAAGCATGGTCGTAATTGGTTGTGGTTCCAATCTCGAATTTCTGAAAGTTTTGCAGGCACCTAATTTTTGGCTAAATATATATATATATATATGTGTGTGTGTGTATAAATATATATGTTACCTTGAAAAGATTCAGAGCCGTCGAAGCGCCTTCGATATCCATGATTTCGTTCAATTCTAAGTCACGATCGTATCGGAACGATGTGGTGTTACACTTGCGACCTTTGAATACAATGGGACCTTCTTCATTCCAACCGTAGCAGCTGATAAACGGTCAGAAAACTGTGTTGGTATGCCACTACTTCACATTATTTTAGAGCGGTACCAGAGTACTATAGAAGACAACCAAACAAAGAACACTGTAATTGATTGCCTAAATATTATTATATTTTGCTTTTGTGAGAATCACAGTGAAAAGGTCGATACTCACAAAATGATGGAACTAAAAGGATATCGCATTCAGTGGAATTCAGATATTTAAATGTTGAATCAAGATGGAATGTGCATACTGGGGTCCGTAGAAACTGTTGAACTCAGCCACGCTCTCTTCAGGAAGAGATACATCAAAGTAGACACGTGTGGCATATCTCGCAATTACATGCATCTTCTCGTTAGTAGTCAGACCACCTAGGTATGTAAATATGATGAATAGTGAGGTTTGATGGTCAGCGATATAAAGTATTTTTAGAGCCACGATGGTTGATAATGCCCACTACAAAACAACCCAGAGCCAATTTAGTATACACAATCATACAAATGCACATACCAACTTCGGTCATGAAAGTATGGTAAGGATTGGGAGCCTGCAAGTCCGTTCGTGTATTGTCTCCAACAGCAGTCCTGAATTAATAGCCAACTCAGTGTAAGTATGAAATACACCATGTTGTGTAGGCGAAAGCTAAATGATCTTGCTAGTTGAAATCATTTTTTAAAGCTTTCTATAGGGGCATTGAAGCCACCTAGTCGAAAAATCGCCGATTGTGTTACTTGGGTGCACTTCCAGGTATGTCAGAATATGCACCTTGAGCTAACTTGCGAAATAAACCCTTAGGGAACTGGCAAAACAAGTTTAGCTACTCGACCAATATGCTGCAATAAAGCTCAAGGTAAACTTATTTTTCAAATGTTGGCATACTTGATTCCAAAGTCCAGCATGGCCTGGATTGATTCGGATCTGTTCAAACCCGATATACGGGGAGTCACAATTGATTCGGGACTCCAATTCCAGATGTTGTTTAGATCGACCAGGCGCTCACCTACGGTACCGTTGCTGTACTGTAGCGACCATAGTGGACGAATAAAACAAAGTTTCAGGTAAAACAAGGCAAAATAAACCATATAGTCTTTGCTGCCAATAAGGCGGATGTACATTACATAGCTTGTACAGCTTGCATTTGACTTTGATGCGAACACAACACTGCCGCGACAGGGTGATGTAAGTAGGAGTAGATTCACGAGGATACCTTGATCCCGGTGAACAGAGTGGATTGCGCGAATTCGACGTTGAGATTCAATTCTTCGAAGGACACATTGTATGGTGTATATCCTAATTCTTCACACTTGCTTTCGATGCAGTACAAGTCCATATGACTCCAGGTGTGTGTCACCCAGAAGAAATCTGATAGAGGTAAACAATGTTCGAGTATGAAGGAAGCTTAGCAGAGGTCTCATTCAGGAAAAGAATAGAAGGATTATCCCATTCATAGGACACGGTATATATCTAGACAATGTCCATACGTACAGAATACTTAGATGGCATATTTACGGCCACTGGTGGCAAAATTCTTGAAGGCCTGTAAAACTATGATATGTGCGCCATTTCGTAGAACAACATGCGACATGACAGAATGACGAGACCATTGCAACAAGTCATAGGTCAATGAACTAAACCACTCATGCTGGGCGCAGTAGAAACACTATTTGTCAAACCACTGCCCGTTTCGGTCAATGTGTACAGTTCAGCAATATGGAAGTACTTAGCTTCTACATTTTTGGTTCTATTTATGCACCAGATCATTCGAGTTGTAAAACCCACTTACCATCACGATACTCTAGGAGATTGTCGTTCATGTTGTCCAAGGGAACGTCAAGGTCCCCGTTGAAAGTCGCAAACTCTCCCCATCCTTGTCCATTTATGGCCAACTCATATCTGAAGAAGCGTATTCAAAGCATCAGCGAAACGTCTACGACAGAAAGTGACTTCATCTACTAGACACCAGATGATCATTCACATGAAGATATTCACTACAATCGACACAAACAAAGGCTCAATTTATGTTGTAGTACCACACAAATGCATCAGGGGCTGGTATAACTTATACGACTCGAGGTACACTTGTAGTTATACTGGGTATGAAACATAAAACTGCAATTGCAAACCTGATATCCCATCCCGGATTATCGGCATTGACTTTCTTCTGAAAGTCTCGGAGAATGATCATATCCGTTGCGTTTGCTCTGTGCATGGGTTCTCCATCCAAAGCCTGACGATTCGCCTCGATATTGTAATACTCGGTGGCCAGGAAGACATCGTCGACCTGAGGAGATAGTAGCACACGACGCTGACCAAGGTATACTCCCTTGTTTACCCAGTGAAACCATACGTCTCCAATCACGTAGGTGCTGTTGAAGAACTGATTGGGAGCGAAGGTGAAATGCATCTCCTGTTCGGGTTGTGATAGGTTGCAATGCGATTAGTTGAGTGGTGGTAGTTAGTGGCCCAGGTAAAGATAAGAAGTCTACAGAATGTGTTTGGTATTGTTCCCGCCGTTCTTTCTTTGGTGTTATCCAGTTTTCTTGACACATGCTGTGATGCAAGGAAACCAACAGTGGTAAGTGTAAAGACGTCAAATGTGCAGTTCAGCGATCTTAGATCGCCTCACAAAATACTCGGCAACAGTTTTGTCAAGCTGATATACATTGTATGTAAGTGTGCATGCTATGTACTGTCATTTATATTGAATATATAGGCGTTTTAAAGCACTTTTACTTGTCATCTCAGGACTGCGGTGGGGTATATAACGCCACTTACATCTCGATTGTAGCACTGGCGAATAAAACCTGCGACTCCAGTATCACCCTGGAACTTCATGAAGGGCAGGATGTGGCGTGACCCGGAACTAATTTTGACGGGATAGACCCAACTCTCGCCTATGATATGGAATCAATTTACATTGAGTTCAGGCTTCAAATAACTATTTGGCTATACGTTTATGAATATTTTACTGATATATGTTTACTGATGGTTGAAATCCGTCTCCTTTTCGCTGCTAGAGTCAGCAGTCAACAAAGACCATATTTGAATGTAAGCGCCGCATGCATAACAATCGTCACCTTCTCGATCCAAAGGTACAGGACAACAGCGACATCTTAAGAACTGAAACTGCAGTATTGGTCCACAACACACAAATGTCTTACCTTGGCCGAGTGGCAACTTTGCAGTCAGGGGCACAGAGTCATTAAGAGACAGTGACATGGGGTTGTCCAGCCACTCAATGACTTGTGCATCACTTGTGCCTTCCCCTGTGATCATTGCGTGAGTTAATGGGTTAATGGTTTTAGAAGTTTCTGGATGCAACCGTTAACATAGATAGTGCACTGTGTAAGTGGTTGTTGCCTTGACGACAACATACTGCAAACGGCTGGCAGTTGAAGTGCAAAACTATTCTAGGCAAATGCACTTCAGGGATAGCATGAAAATGGTTTATCCGCACGTGGAAAACCAGTCCACTCTATGCATGCGATGTATGATAAACAACTGATCACCTGAGACCCAAACACCAATCATATCTGGCACACAATTACCTGTGCCAAGCAGCGCAGTGTCGGCGTTCTGGGTGGTGTGCATCACAGTGATGCGCACATTATACGTCTCGGCGTACTCGTACAGCTGTGACCATCCCTCACCGTCTAGTGCAGGCATATACTCTCCGGCGTTGTCGCCTGCCATCATCAGCTCAGCGGAAGTCAGCACAATGGCATTGAACAACGGTCCTGCATCAATTTCGGTTTTAAATATTGAGATTGAGATTTTTTAGATCCTGGTCAACAAAGATAGATGAACATGCAAAGTACCAATGATAGTCCTTCGAGCATGAAATCACATATGCCATAATTCACACAAGTGCGCGACCGTATGCGACGAGTGCCAATTCAAATCACAGGTGATAAGCATACCAGTGCTGTCCTGCATGGCGGGTAACGAGTTCTCGTGCAAGTCAACTAGTGTGTACGGGGCACCAAAGCCCAGGTAGATGTTGATGACCGACTGATGCACAGCCTCGTTGGTGGAGAGGATGAGAGTTCTCATTCTGTAGATGTGTAAAACACGGTTAATCAAGGTTCCGGCCTCAGACGTAAAGAACTATTTCTGTGTGTTAAAGCTCCTAGTTTGAAAGAGATTTCCAGTGGTTTACCATACTGCGAGAAATGTGCAAATGTACTGCTTCATACGTCGCTATCTGCTTAGATATATATGACTTTTACAATTTCTCACCCAGGGCAGTCTGCATCGTTTTGTTCTGTATATTTTCTTGTCATCATCAAGTTGGTGTGTCGTTATAAACCAAAAAATCTTGGTTGGCAGATGCGAGCGTTCGTGTTTAAGGGGAAAACGCTTTTAGAGCAGCCTTCAATTACGCTGTGTTTGCCTATGGTCGAATTAATCGTCGTTGGTAGGGTGGTACGAGCCACTTTTATATTGCTGGTTCAAGTGTTGCCTTATACACTATCCATTGTGTACTCCATATTGGGCAGAGTATATGATATGTGGTTAATTTGTTATATTCGTGGGCTCCTACACCTACGAACAACCGCACATAAATAGTTAGCTTCGATATCTTGCTGTGGTGACCCCACCTTACTATGCGATATATATGGCGGACAGATACGCTTACCTAATCGTGTAGTCTGTCTGTGTCGCTTTAGCTGTCACCTTTCGAATCAGAACTGCAGTGGAAGTGGCACACGATACAACCTTCACTGTGTTATCCTGAATGTGGATAGCGTCCAACTTGGCCACACCCTTGTTGTCATGATGATAGGCATGACCATCGGCTAGAACCAGAGCATCCACTCCAAAGGAAGACTGTATTTGATGACGACCAATTTATTTTGGGGGTAGTGTTAGTCATCACCGCACTCTATTCTGTCCGCCGACAGACGGAGTAGCTCGTGCTAACCTGCCTATTTGTGCACAACAGCAACGGGAACATCATCTCACGTATTAAACAAAGATACCCGCCGATATATACAATACAACAGTCACATGAATAGGAGAATGTAGATAGAAACCCAGAATCATTCGCTTGTAGATCTCAATATGACCACTAGTTGTACTTGTACGTTTTACATGTCAGTGTGCCACGCACCGTTTTCCCGAGGATAAAAGGCACATTCAGATCGTCTGCGGCGGCTATTTCCCATCCCTCAGGTATCTCAACGTATGCGTCGTTGCAGTTGGTATTAGCGGAAACTGCGTTGAAGTCGGTGTCGAACAACGTCGCATAGTCTGCGCCACACATACTCAGTACTGTGGGGATTTAAGGGATTGAGAAAGATAAGAAACATTAGGGGTTTCAATGAAGGTCTGCGAATTGAAAACGATCTGTCAACGCACATGTCAGTCTATCGAGAGAAAATGCTACAGGTAAAGCTATTAAAAGCTAATAAACGGCACAAGGTCGCGCACGGTAGTATAGTATACGAGTACTTACACCCTCACTCCACTAATTGGCACACTATCCTTTCCTTCAAAAAAATTGTATTAAGGCCCTGCCTAGTGTACGCTATTAGCACTTCCCCACTTCATGTCAGTCATTTCGTTCAAATACACCAATTTGTTTGCAGTGAGCTGAGTCGGCTCGCTTTTGATTGCTTAGTGGATGTGCGTATGGTCCATACCTGCCACGCCTTGAATATGTACCTAACAGGGCTAACAGGGCCGTGTGTGCACTATGATTTTGTAAACACTTCATGTCTATCAAATATCATTGACATGCGTGAACACAGCACTTAACAAGACTCGCGTGTAAATGTTGGCGAATCCCTTACTATAGTTATACGCGTATTTGTACACTGTGTATCTGTGCGCGAATATTTTCGTGTGCATCAAAGCTTACAATATAAGAGTTACATTTGAAAGCAAAAGACAAACACTCATACGCTCACTTTATTCCCACACAACCGGACATACATGCATACATAAACCACTAAACAACATACCGTTCGCTGGCTGTGCAGCTGATACGACAGCTAAGCTGCCGATGGCCGATAGACCTATTGCGGCCGTTAAGAAAGATCTCAACATTTTGCCGTAGAAATCTGCGAAGTAGTCGGTTTTGTAAAAGTATGGTTGTTATATATTTAACGAGTGCCCTAGAAGCGCTCAAGTATTCATGCCGCACAGACTGATGTACTGTTCGGCTTTTCTGATATTTGGTTCTAAACAAAACATCCTCTTGCGTTTTTTGATCCTTGCATGCAAATTTCGGCAATGTATTTTTATAACCACCTCAATATTTAAACCTGTGGTGCTCGTCGTGTGAGAATAACAGCACTTATACATTCAAAATAGGACAATGCAGACATGATGAAGTTTGACAAGGCAGCGAAGTCATCAAGATTTAACACAATACACTTTTCTGTTCAATATGTACGTTCTCATATACGTGGCGACTGTTTGCTTTGATGTGATAGATCAATCAATACATTCACAGAAATTTCACTCTTTTCATCACAAACGTTCCTCACTGTATTAGGGCACTACTTGTACCATAGTATCAACACCAGCAATATATACAGTGGACCCAAACCTATCGAATTAGACGACACGCTATCTTGGCTAGTCATCACAATCCTTTTAACACTGTATTAGGGCATTACTTATACCATACAGCTATATATATACAATGAACCCAAACCTATCGAATAAGGCGACACGCTATCTTGGTTAGTAAAAGGATGTTATATACTGGAGTAGTTGCTGCCTATCAATGTCTCGATTTAACGAATTCTGTGAGTCGTAAACTCTAATCCAATCTTTCAGTCCAACATTAATCCGACAGAATCTAACCATCAAATGTCAAGTCTTGCCTTTATAGAGATGTCACGAAACCTCGCACTACAATCTGAGAGATGCCACTGGAGACTTATGTTTAAACCGTCGGTGGCTATATCTCGATATGTTTACTCAGCCTAAGCACAAAGTTATTTTTCGCGAACGTGCATATAAAACGGTCAGTTGGCTCTGTGCTAACGATATACATCCTATTTACAGTGTGAGTCTGAGCATAAATCGTATTTACAACTTCTGTGACACTTACAAGCTGATTGGCGATGCACAGTGATGGCTCTCATGGAAGAAGAAAAAATATCGATGTGCGATCAAATGTGTGGGCAATGTTATGTAGTACTCGTCTAACATTCCTGAACACGATTACACGTACCTCAGGTTCCAGTTGCTAGCGAGTTGTGTGTCACCTATAAAAGGAAAATAACGTTATTGATCTAGTCGAGGGGTCGAATAACTTCTCTATCTGTCTAGTAGGCAGAAGTGTTGTTTTTCAACGATAACTCGCGAATTTTATATGAAGTCATAAGAAATGCTGTGTGCGAGACTATACGGAAACGACTGGAGTTGGTTGCCTGAACGCCTTTAACGGTAGAGGCACAGCAAACAGTGGGCAAAATCATTCTGAAGTGGCAACTCGGAAGCTTGCTGTTGCGGTTCGGGTCGACATCCAATACTATTTGTTAGTGTTTTTTTAAATTAAAAAGCCATTCCAAAAATAGATACTTTAAAAATACACGCCAGTAAAATATATACTATAAATTGCTTGACTACGAGTTACGTAACCCATTGGTTCTCTGAGCAGAAACATTGAATCGCATTCAAAATAATTCAGCAACAAGAGCTGATCGATGCCTTCGCAACCAATCGCCATTTCTGTTTATTCCCCCCGCCCCATCATCTTGGGATTCTCTCGACTCTCGAGTCATCTGAGTGAGAGTTGGAGTGTTTGAATGTTTGAGACTCCGAGTCTCTCAAAGATAATACTACTGGGTCACTGGGAGCGTGAGTAGCTGTAGAGTGTAGAGTTGTAGAACTATGATAAGAACAGAGTATTTTCACCGCCTTCTAAATAGACGGTATTTTAAATTCACTTCACAGACTCTCTCTCTCTCTCTGAGTCTCAGGCTCTCTGGCTTCAGCTCTCTCTCTCAGTCTCCGACATTCTCAGTTCTCAACTCGAGGTGGGGAAAGGGGGGGGGGGGGGGGGGGGTAAAAACATAAATTGTATAAGAGAGGCCAGACTTCAGAAGTTCAGAGACTGTTGTGAGTGTTGTCCCTCTCTCTCTCTCTCTCTCTCACTCGCTGGGGAGTCTGAACTCTGAAGAAGACCTGTGAAAGGACTCAAAGGAGGCGGTGTATTTTCAATTTTGTTATGTGAACTGGTGATGACTGATATTTTGGGTTTGTATAATGTATTTAGCCTCTGAGTCTGAGGCCGCTGCCTCTGACTCTCTGATAACCCTCTGACCTCTGATTATAGGCGCTGACGAACAAATTTATTAGAATAAAACATGGTCATCTTGATGGCGTCCATCACAGGATTCATGAGTTGACCCCAGCTCATGATCATGTCTCTTTAACTCCCTGTGTATACAGTGTATGCTGCTGTGTAGAGTCTGTGTGACTATATTTAGAGTGTAAATAGACTGTTGAGTGCGAGTGTAAATAGACTGTACATAGAGTGTAAATAAGGCTGTAGTGTGTAGCCTGTAGACTTTAGTAGAGAGAGTAGTGTAATTAGAGTGTAGAAAAAGAGTATAGTGTATGCAGTATTGTTGTTTATAGAGAAGCAGAATTGAGAGAGTAGCCAGAGGATGCAGAAATAAAAATAAATCACTCTTTTGTTACTGAAATACTATTTTTTTTTACTAAAACAAAAGAGAGGATACCTTTATGGGATCCCGGGCACGGGGCTCCGGGCCCTGCGCCTGTAGGCAGCGATTGACAAAGCCCTGCGAGTGATAAGGCTACAGGCCTACAAGTGACAACAGACAACTGATGCGTCCAATTTTCTCATATGGGCCGCAACGGATGGGAAAGCGTGACTTATACGATATAGTTTTAAGCAACACAGTACTGAATCAATACAATGCCGCCATCGCCTCGCCGTGATCGAACACAACAGAGTGCTGAATGAGAGACAGGCATGAGCAAAAAGCAATGAGCAACTGTACAGACTGTTTTAGTTTACTTCGAGTTCAGAAGGATTGTACCTAATCAGCGCCAAGAAATCACCATAGATTCGTATATACATAAACATGAGGACGAGGATTTTTTGCAAACATTTCAAACAGGCATACCATCGCACAACTCCATCTGATAATCTCTCCCCTTTTGATACATCGTATTCAAACCTTGATATTTTGAGCATCAGTGAAAATACAGACATCCGTTAACAATTGACCTGTTACGTGTCCAGATTAAATCTTATGTATACACATACAATATACACCTGTTGATATATGAAATATTA